ATACATACACAAACACACACACACACACAGACATACACACAAATTTTTTGTTTTTGTTTTGTGACACAGTCTCTTTACGTAACCCTGGAACTCACTATGTAGACCAGGCTGACCTCACCAAGATCTGCCTGTCTCTATCTCCCAAATGCTGTGATTAAAGGAGTGTGCCACCATACCTGGCCCATGCAATAATAATAATAACAATAATAATAATAACAACAACAATAATAATAATAATATAATATTAGTTGGCAGAGAGGTGATTGAATTCAGAACGTACTTAACATTTTTACAGTTCACACATGCAAATTGGGAACTGCTTCATTTAGCATCCAAATGTAATTCTTTCAAAAACATCCTCTAAAGAGGTTGTCTACAGACTACAGGGAAGAGCTGCAACATACAAAAATGTGAGTGTAGCCAGTGAAAAACCAGAAAAGAAAGGCAATCCCAGTCAAGTTCATTTACCCACATTTGGTGCATAATTTAATGTGAATGTAAGCCAGTGTATATATTTATATTAAATATGCAAGAAAATAATAGGTAATGGGGTGATGGGTTGTCTTGATGAAATCTGTGCATTAAAGCACCATTGCTAATAATAATAATAATAATAATAATAATAATAATAATAATACCACACTACTACCTGGGGCTGAGGATGTAGTTCAGTACATAAAGTGTTTGGCCAGCATTCATGAAAACCAGGGTTCCATCCCTAGCACCACCATATACACTGGTGTGATGTCAAACACCACAAAGACCTGTAACTCCAGGTCTTCAATGTACAGGAAAGTGGGTCAAGAGTTAAAGGTCATCCTTGGCTACACAATGAACTGGAGGGCAGTCTGAGCTATTTAGATGCCCCTTCTCATACACACACACACACACACACACACACACACACACACACACAAAGAGAGAAAGAGATTCAGAAAAATGGTACTTGTGCTGGGTTTTTAAATGCTAGATATGCTTGCTGATTTAAAGCTGCAAAATCAAAGCAAGAGGTAACTGCACTATTTAAATTCATCCAGGAAAAATAACCCATTACTGTTGCCCTATTTTTTTTAACTTCTTTCATTCCTATTTTTTTTCCCACTGAAAGCAGTGTTTTTAGAATACAATTTTTAAGGCTCCTGAGCGACACAAACATCAAGCTTCTGAGGACAGGCGCCACAGGCAGGACGTGCATACTTCTACTTGAACTGAGTGCACTTGAGTACATATGGTTCTGATAGTTCGAGCAATGTTTATTAATAAGCACAACACGAGTACTTCTCAAGAGATACATTTAGCAATGTGTCATAATTATTCACCATAGTCATGAAATCATAGCATAGGAAATCCTAGAACCATAACCTAGTCACTGTAGAATCTTAGTCTCTTCTTTATTGGCCCTACAGCCCCCTCCCATATCTTTGGACTCCAGAGTAGCAAATAGACTGAGATCAGACAGCCAGAGGGGGATCGCTGAGAGGAGCCATCCTGGAGGCCTGGGAAACATCAGTGTTTTCCAAAGTGCTGAAGCACTTCTTTCTACCCCAGGAATGTCTGGAAGAGGGAAGATTTTAGTTGCCGCAGTCCAACAAACCTAACCCTGCCAGGGGTCTCCAAGGCCATGAGGGCACTGTTCATGGTTTTTCCAGAAGCCCCAAGGAAAAGACATTGGCTTTACCTCTTGGAAATAGCCAAGGGGCTGAGCACAGCGGCGGCAGTCTCCTCTTGGCACTGTGCAGAGAAAGGGAGAGGCAGCTCTCCACATCACAGGCTGGGGAGGTGGGTGGGGCACCAACAGCTCCATCTCCATGGGGAAGACAACACAGGCCAGCCACCGCCCCCACAGGTCCGGTGTCCCTGCTCAGTGCTGCCCTCCAGTGGCCAACCTCGTTCTTTCCTGCAGGAGGACTCATACACCCAGGCTCTCACCTTCCTCTCGTTTTCTGGACTCAAGTTCTGGGTGGGTTTCTTTTGTTAGCAGTGGGAGGCAGTTGCTGCCGAATCTCGAGAGTCTTGCAAGATTCTGGGAAAACGTGACAGACACAAAGCTGCTGTCTGCCAAGAAAGACTTAGACGCTGAAGCAAAGTCTGCTTAGCTTTACATAACACAGCAATGTTGAAGTCCTGGGGTGGGAAAGGTAGCGTTTCCTACCCTTTCTCGTGTTCATCTTAGCAAATTCTCAGAAAATTTAAAATTTTTTTTAAACAGTATTAGTTATACAGAAGTTAGAAAGACACATGAACATCAACAGGTTTCTAATTGCTTTGATCAAAATGTCTTAATGTGTTTATTGTGAAGCTTCCCTCTTCCCTCTTTTTTTTTTTTTTAACTAAACATGGAAAGATTTCACACTACTGTGAGTATGGGAAAGTTAGAAATCCTATGAATCGTGAAGCTAAACCAAACCAAAGTATGAAGTCTAAAACACAAAACTAAGTTAAAATAGTTTGCTCTCATAGTAGGTTTTGGAGATCATCTGTCATTCAATTTTTAAAACATGTAATGATTTTTGCAGCATCTATGTTAAAAGATGGCTAGGCATCAAAAAATTAAAATCAAAATTGAGATTCTTTCTTACCTTAGTCAGAAGGCACATCGCCTGAACTATAAATGCTAAGGAAAATATAGGGAAATGGGAATGTTTATCCACTGTTGGTGGGAATGTAAATTGGTGCAGTCACTATGGAAATCCATGAGGCAGTGTCTCCAAAAGCTAAGATTAGAACTATCATATGAGTGAACTATCATATAAACTATCATATGACTGAGTTATACCACTTCTGGGCATATACCTAAAGGATTCTACTCTCTACCACAGGAACGCCTGCTACCCAACTGAGAGCAGCTAGAAAATGAAATTAGCCTAGACCCACACGATGGCAGTTTATGTAGACATTAGGAAAAGAAAATCCTGATTTTCTGGCAGCAAATGGATGAAACTAAAGAATATGATACAGAGGTAAACAAGGCCCAGAAATACAAATGCCTCTTTCACATGTGGATCCTAGCTAGCTTCAGATTTTTAATTTGTGTGTTTTTAAAAGATTTATTCATTTTGAATGCTTTATGTACATGCCAGAAGAGGGCAGTAGAGGGTTTAGATGGTTGTGAGCCACCATGTGGTTGCTGGGACCTCTGGAAGGACAGACAGAGCTCTTAACCACTTAGCCCTCTCTCCAGCACCTAATTTGTGTGTTTTATTTGAGGTCAGGAAACTAGAAATAGCATATATGGGCTGAGGCACCTTAATAGGGTAAATATGCGGAATAAATGTGAGATGCAAGTGTGTGTAGGGGTTAGAGTATGTTTCAACAGGAATGGAGGTGAGTCAAACATAACCAAGAATTGTAAGCTAATTTTAGAATACTTTTAAAAAGGAGTTTGAACACCTGTATCTTTAATGAGTAGACAGTGTTCTCCCAGAAGACCGGATTTGTAAATGAAAATCTCAGTGTTGTATCTGAGATACTTGCCAATGAGTCACTGGTCAGAAAGGACCCAGAGGCATCCCAGATAACACAAGCTGTTGTTTTTGGTTGTCCACCATACCTAAAATGTAGGCCCCTACTGATGAACACATAGACAAATCAGATTGAAACTGACCAGGAACTTCTTTCCTGACAGCTCATTTTTACAGTGCTAAAAGATGCTATGGAGTTCACTGGCGAGGGAAAGTTAACAGACCTTCTCAGTGGTGAGCCCCACATGCTGTGATACTACCCTGCCCAGGAAGATGTGCCACCGATGCAACCATGGCATGACTGCTTTTGGATTGGATTTGAGGCCTGCTCCAAAGATGGGGATTCATGTCTGGTACTATAAATCTAGTCAAAACCCTATGGCTGGAGGGATTATAGTAGGGGAGTACCTAATATTGCCATATCACTTTCTAGATATTTATGTTTATATGCATAGATTAGTGCTGCTCTGGTCACAGCAGCTTTGTTCTGCAATGGGCAGCAACCTCCTAGCTGAGTAAATTGTTGAGAGTGGTTGTTGAATACTTAGCTCTAAATACACCATTTATATCAACTCTCCCAAGGCTCAGGGAACATCATAGAAAAAAAAAAAAAAAAAAAAAAACAACAACAACAACCAGAAAGAATGTGAGAGCCAAAGGATGGGAGGAATGCTATGAAATGCTGTCTTCCAGACATGACATGGTCATCGCAGTAATAAGCTCACTGCACTATGGTTACTTATGTAAGATCAAGCCAGTTAACATTCCTCCATGGATGCAAGAGAAGCTCATGAGCCATCACCCCTAGATGCAGAGCTATTTGCAATTGATGGCTGCTGGGGGAGTGGAAGTCATTTTTCTTTGGAGGTGTGGCTACTTGTAGGCTGCCCATGGATGGCCCCACATCCATGCACATATAGGCAGCACTAAGAGGACCCAGTGAGTTGTTAAAATAGAATATGAAGGTGGGAGGAGGAAATACTAGGGGTTCAGGAGTGGAAGAAGGGAGTTGGGAGTGGTATGATCAAGACACATTGTATATACTTCAAATTGTCACAAATTTTATATATATATATATTTTTAAAAGGGTAGCTAGTGTAGTTCAGTGATAGTGTTTACTTAGCCTTCATGAAGCCTGGGTGTGATTCTCATCACTGAAAAGAAACGGGGAAAAGGTAGTGAGGCTGCATCTGCTGAGCTTTCCTGGCATCAGCTTCATGCTAAGCATCTTTCATGCACTTCTATTATTCCTTATGCAACCACTACCAGCTGGCAATTCCTCATATGCTACATTGGAAATGAAAGTTGAACTCAACCTGAGTACATGCACATTAGACAGCTAACAGAAAGATGGGATCGAAATCAAGGTCTAACTTTAAAGCCATGTACTTTCATTAAACAGTATTTAAATGTGCAGAAGGTACAGAATTCACAGAGATGGTGCAAAATCTTCATCTTTTACACACACAGTTGACTTTGGAGGATTAAACCCTTGTTTCCAGATTGACTACAAGGTCTTCCAAACAGACAACAGAGACAATCGTTTAAAACAATCACTTTATTAAAAATAGCAAATCTCACAAATACTTATTAAACATTTTTCATTGGCCATTGGGAAACACACCTCATGTGTACTGATTGTCTGACGTAAACTCAAGGTAGGCTGCCACAGGAGACCTGTACATCACCAACATGTGACCCACACTGGGTCAGTGCGGTGACAGCAGGAAGGATAAATCCTTCAGCCCCACGGAATATTTAGCACAATGCATTTCAAGTATAACCCTTAAGGCAACAGAAGAAAGCACAGCAGCACAACTCTGTATCCCACTTCCTGATCAGACCTGCAGCCAGGCCAAGGCCTCCCCAGCGGTGAATTACAGCAAGCACAGCGACTAGAAGCGGCATGTGAACAGAATCATCGCACTTGCAGTTTCATTACTTGAATTTTGTTGTGGAAGGTGATTCTGCCATTGGATTCAGCTGGAACAGCAATGACTGCTGCTTCTCTGCAAATCCCACAGAGCAGGCTGCAGGCTGCTTCAGCTGGTAGATGTATTGGGAACATCCTGCGCATCTGCCAAATGCAGTTTCTGTCTGAATTCATCAGTTAAGAAGATTTTCACTTTAAACTGAGTACTTAAAATTTCAGGAATTTACACTCAGTATCCAAGAAACAGAAGACATAGGGGAAGGGACGGGGGAAGGAAGTGGGGAAAGGATAAACAGAGTGAGGTAAGGTGGGAGAGCAGAAGAGGCTTAAAGGGAATTGGACAGTAGCTCAATGCAGAGAATTATGCTATGTGTATAAGTCTGAAGCTTAAAAACATTTATTTAGCATTTAGTTATGTAGTCTCAAGTTTAAGTCCTTCTGCCTCAGCCCCCAGTGCTGAAGTTATAGGAGTGCAGCCTCATGTGACGCAGCAAGAACCATTTTCATGATAGATAATCAGTGAAAGTGGAACATTAATGACTAATTGAATTATGACAATGCCTCAAGATGCTATTTTATCATGTTTAGGAAACAATTTCCTTATAAAGCCCAAACATGAAATATTATCACAACTCTATAATTTTTTCTATAATCTTTATCATCCTCCAAGAAAACTGTGAACAAAACTGAATCCCTTCATGTGTTCCCTTGTCCTTTCATTTTGCTCGCAGACTAAACTGTTTATCCATTGTCCACCTTTCAAGGGTCAGTTCACACAGTGATCTGAATACACTGAGAACAACTACGAGTCAGCACATATACATGGCAGAGGTTGCAAAACATAAGATAAGCATGGCCATGGAAAGTACCGTTGTCTAGTTAGGTCGTTTGAGATTTAACACATGGAAAAATCATCAGACAGAAAAGTAAGGTAGAATGTCAGGTTACAGGTACAAACCAAACATTTGATGGGAGTGGTCAGCATGACTGTCATCTGTCTGATAAGAAGAGGAAAGAAGGACAGAGTGTCTCTGTATCAGAAGCCCAAGCTGAACAACATGGAAAGAATGAACATGATGTGCTATCTTAGCTCCTAGACATCTAAAAACACAGCTTAGTGGGAATAAAAACTCTAATATGATATATACATTGTAATCACCTATGAAAAGGCCTTTAAAAGTTAACGATGGTTAAAAACAAAACAAAACAAAACAAAAAAAACCCAACAATGTGGAAAGCCAGCACTGGTGGGAGTGAGGCAGAACGATTGCTGCAAGTTCAGGACAACCTGGGCGCACAGTGAATGTAGGCAACTCAGGGTATAGGGGACTCAAGGTGAGCCTGATTGAAAAAAAAGTGATGTTTTAAGAAGATTATTTAATGGCAATGTCTGAAGTTTAAAGAAACATATAAACTACAAATATGATTTTTAATGTTCCTATCATTGAGTTTAAAGGGAAAAACAGGTGATATTAATTAAAATAATATATGCTGCTTACTCGGATATATTTAAATTTAAAGAAAATTTAAATTTCTTGTGTGGAGGTGGCCATGCCATAGTGTAGATGGAGCTCAGAGAACAGCTTTGTGGAGTCTGTTCTCTCCCTCATCTTACATGGTTTATGGTCATAAAAGTCAGATCACTATGCTGAGGAACAAGCACCTTTCCCCACTGAGCCATCCTGTTGGCTCTGTTCAGACATAAATGTTCAAAACTTTAAGTTACACGTGGTACACTGTAACTCCAGCACTTGAAGGCCTCACAGTATCATACAATGGAGGCCAGCATGGCCTACTTAAGGAAAACCTTGTCTCAAAATAACAGCAACAATGGTTTCAACCCATATTCATAATTGAAATGTTTTATGTTTTTTTAACTTCTGAAATTTAGTATCCTCATTACAGTTAAAGCATATTTTAACTATGACTAGCTAAACATATGCCATATGCTCAACAGCTATACAGCTAGTGGCTTCCATATCTAATATTAAAGCTGAAGTTGGAACATAAAATCAAAACGTTGACTCATCAAGTTCCACGCACCTGCAGTTTCTCTCATAGAGAACGAAGGAAGGGTAAGAGTAGAAGCGGTAAGAGCTGACTACTTCAGAACGGCAAGTGGAATTCACACTCATGTCCAAGCTCAAAGCAGCAGCACAGACTTAATCACTGTTACTGCCCAGTTGAGCAATTAATCCCAGTAAAGTGTCACAGCAGGAGTCAGGCTTGCTCCCTATTCTACCTTCTGTGTATCCTACCCAGTTGAGACGTTTCCCGATACGTACCATTACACAAAGCAGCTAGGATCGCAGACGCCCTAGAAGATGTTAACGTCACATCGTTAACATGTACACCACATTCCAAACACTCCTGTCTCGTGTCATTATTGCACTCAAGGGTCCAGTCTCCCTCTCGTGAAAGCATGCTAAAGGTAATATCATTTCATATTATTCTTAGCAATAAAATTCTTATCAGCAATTGTGTTGGCAAACAAGTTAAAAAAAAAAAACAGTTTGAAAAGTTCTTTATGTCATAGTCTCAAACTGAAATACCAAAATCAAAATAACCTCCCTGTGACTTGGTGTTTTCCTTCAAGTGAACTCACTCCTGTGCTACTTCAGCATGCAGATGGCACCTCACAAGCTGTGGAAGGACCCCTTGAAAGCTGTGGTTTAGTACTTGAATTTCAATTTTATGCACCTTAAGTAATAATGTTAAGTGTATCTTTGGATATCTGGTAGTTTCAGAATCTAAAAGTCAAAATAATTTGTATAGTCCAATACACAATTTCCAAGACTTGAAAAGTAATACTTAAATTTGTTGTGAAAAATGTGAAAACAATATAAAACAAAGAACAAAGTAGACACAGAATTTCAGCATACAAAATTATGAAACAAATTGATCTGGAAACTAAGTGAAGAGGCATAGCCCTAGTAAATAAAATAATAAAGTAAAGTAAAGTAAAGTAAAATATGGTAAAAATTATTTACCCGGAAAAATAGATTATGAACTTTACACTGTTGATAGTAGACAAAGGATACATAGAAGAATTCAATTCTTCTAACTGCAACACAAAGAAACAAACTGAGTATTAATTTTTACAAGATAAATATTAATAGGCCATTGTAAACCATGTTTTAAAATAGCTTCACATAGGTTTTCTTTAACTGAAAGAAAAGCTATTAAAAAATTTTCTCAAAAAATTTTTTTCTAAGCTGAGAAATTCCTTTTTACAAAATAACTATAAAGTAGCTGCTGCTTAAATGAAAGACCCTGAAAGGAGAACAGAAGCAAGTGATAAAGGCTAGAGCTTTGGAAGTCGTCATAGAATCATGCATAATGGCAATAATCTCCATTGTGTGTGTGTGTTGTTTTCAAAGAGTCTCAATATGTAGCTATAATTAGGTTGGCCTTGAACTCTACGTAGCCCAGGAGAGCCCTACCTCTTGATTCAGTAGCCATAGCGCTAGGATCACAGACACACGCCACTGTGTTCTTTTAACAGCCATTTTATCATTATTGGGTGTACTTCACTCTTCGTGTGTGAAGGCAGCACACATGGGGGCCAGAATATCACTTGGGTCTTGGATTTGGGTCTCTCCTACTCTTACACGAGTTCTAGGAATTGAACTCAGGTTCAAGTTTCACCATACTTGCCTTGCAAGCACTTTTTACCTCCTGAGCCATCTGGCTGGCCCCATGACTCACTTTTAAAGAATAGTTTCAAAAAACTAAAAAGAAAAGCCATTTCTGTGATCATAATTTTTAAAACTTTTATTAGTTACAAAAATATTTCAAAAATCATTTGATTCTCACCATAAGGTAGAATTTATTACTCCATGTCTTATTCTGTTTGGGCTCCTATTTTTAACAAAAATCATTAAATTAGTGGTTTGTAGAAAAAAAATAACCTTATTTCTATGGCTCTAGAGACCAGCCATCCAAGATTATGATGCAACAAACCTGGTGTCTGTCTCACAGAACAGCACTGTGTACTGTGTCCTCACAGAATGCAAGCACCAGGATGTCTTTTCAGTCTCTTTTCCTAGGACACCAATTCCACTCTTGAACTACATACCTTCCAAAGACCCATCTCCTGCTGCCACCACCTTCAAAGTAAGGACCTGAAAGTAGGAGTCCCAGAAGGATACTGACATAGGAAGGAGAAATGAGCAAAGAACTGCTGGCTGGGGCTGTAGCTTCGTGGTGGAGAGCTTGTCTAGCATCCACGTGGCCTCAGTTAACCTCCAGCTCCTCACAACACTTTAACAAAGAAAGACAGGTGGGTGGATAGGTAAACTAGATTGCTCGCTGTTACGAAGCACAATGCCAGTGTAAGCTTTGCATTGTGCCTCCTGGTTTCAAAGTCAGTGCTTTCCTAAATGCACCAAAAGTAAAGAAATTAAGCTTCTATTTAAGAGAACTAGAGCATAAGACATCAACTGAAATACTTGTGAAACTAATATTAAATGGCAGATCTGACATTTAAAAGTACAGGCTTGAAGGGTGTTTTGTTTGTGTTTTGAGAGACACATATTGTCCAGGCTGGCTTTGAACTCACTATGTACCATGTATGTAAGGCTGACCTTTAACTCCTATTCTTCCTGCAACCACTTCCAAAGTGCTGGGATTACAAGCATGCACTGTAAATCTTATAGGCTTAAAGTTTTAAAAGTATGAGTGGACAGCTGCCTCATGTCTACTTATTTTTTTAAAAAGTGAAAGTGAAAAAGAACAAAGAAAAGCTGGAGAAACAAACTCTTTTGCCATGGTGAACATGAAGCTAAAATACCTTGAAGTAAGTTATTTATTTTCCTTTGTTCTAAAAAGCAGTTGTGTGTGCTTAAGTTCCTATGTGTGTGGCAGAGGTCAATGTTGGGTGTCTTCCTCAAATGTTCTCCACCTTATTCTTTCTTTTTTTTTTTTTTTTTTTTTTTCTGAGACAGGATCTCTCACCAAACATGAAGCTCATACATTCAGCAACAACGAGGTGGGCAGTAATCCCCAGAGACCTTGTCTCTGCCTCTGTAGTGCTGGAATTGCAGGCGCTTTACACACGGGTGCTGAGAGTCTGAAGTCAGGCCCTCACGCTGGTACGGAGCCACCTCCTCAGCCCCCTAAAGAAGGTTTTCCTCAACCCCTAAAGAAGGTTTTAAAGATTTATTTATTTTTTTATTTCATGGGTATGAGTGTTTTGTGCACATGTAATCATGTGCATCACGTGTATGCCTGGTACCCTCAGAGGCCAGAAGAGGGCTTCAGATCTCCGGAACTGGAGTTATTGACGGTCGAGGGCCGCCATGTGGGTGCTGGGAACAGAATCTGGGTCCTCTGCAAGAGCAGCAAGTACTTTTAGCCGCTGAGTCAGCTTTGCAGCCCCCTAAAAAAGGTTTTAAAGAGGCAAATTTACAAGATGTCATGGGCTGAGTTGTGCCCCAGTCCATCCCCAACTCATACACTCTAGTTCTCGGCCATAATATGTCAGAATCTGAGGGTACTTTAGGACAGGGCCATTAAAGAGGTACCTGAGTCAAAATGAGTTCACTGGGGTAGGCCCTAATCCAATATAACCTTAACAAGAAGAGGAAGTCTGGACAGATGTACATGGGAGAAAAGTTAAGCGAGTATGAAGATGACCAACCACAATGGAAAACTGAGGCCTTAGGCAACACTCAGCGCTCACATCCAGCTCCCAGAATTGTGAGAAAATAAATTTCTATTGTTTAAAACCCCAGTATGTGCTGCTTTGTTATGGTAGTTCTAGCAAACTGATAGACACGTCAGTGTTTTAAATTGCTGTAAAGATCAAATTCTGGTTTGTATTTAAAAATAACCATCCAATCAGACAAAGGTTTTTTGACTGGTGTCTTCTGTGTACTTAAGATCTGTATATACATAAGGTCTATATGTAATACAGGCACATAAGTTTGCCAGGATTATGGTAATACATGTTTCCGTAAGTCTAAGTTTCAGCATTTTCTTAAAATATATTTCTTTAAAGAATGTTAACAGATAGGAAATGTGAGGACACTAACCTAAGATATTCCCATCTGGACACACACTGAATAATGCCATCTGTATGAAGTTCCCACAGAGGCCAGTTCATCAAGACAGAAAGAACAAGTGGTGTTACTAGGACATGGGGAGGAAAAACTAAAGCATAGGCTTCTTTAAGGGGTGATAAAAGTGTTCTAGATTAGATGGTGGTGATGACTGCAAAACACTGAATTATATAAACAAATCACCAATAGTTAAAATGTGATCTGTGTTATGTGTGTGTGTTGTTGCAAGAAGATGTTTTTTAAATAATACAGCACTTCACTCACATCAGACAGAAGCCTGTCCAGGTTGGCATCACTGGCCGCTTTCCGCTTATCCTCCGGAAGTTCCTCTAACTCCCCGTAGAGCTCCAAATTCAAGCGAGCTAATTTCTCCTGCATTCCCCGGACATGTTCCATCTGTTCTATGGAACACTCATTTCCTGAGGAAAATTCCAGAACATTAACAAAGATTAGTATTACAGCCTATAACCTCAAGGAAGAGCTTTTAAACTCCAGGTGCACAAGAGGAATCCATTTTCTTTGTTTGTAAATTGACTTGTTAATAACTATTTTTCTATGTATAATTACAAATATTTTTTTTATTTTTTTGAGACAGGGTAGCCAAGTTGGTTCAAACTCAAAATCTTCCTATCTTGGTCTCCTGATTGTTGGAAGCAAATATAATTTTTGGCCAGGAAAACAATGACCAACCTGAGAAATGATCCTGGGCCCTAAAGTAAAACCATGCATAAAATATTTTTTAAAGCAAAATCATTCTCAAATAGGGAAGATTTTTTTTCTTCCATTGTAACATTGTATACAGAAGTAACAGCACCATAATTATATCCAGTTTGACAACCGCCAGTTGAACTGGGAAGCTAACATTTTGTAGTATTCTGAGTAAAATGTAGAATTCTCTATGAATTTCAAGCACAAATTATTTTTCCAGCCAATTATATATTCTTCTTTTAGGAAGTATAAATGCAAATATTTATAAAGCATGACGTAATATTTTCAATCATATGCATGGTAATGCAAGACAACTTCACCACGGCACAAGTCCCATTATTTCTTGACTTAGGTCCAATGTGGTAAGATTTTTTTTTAACCTTCCCAGACAACTAATGTATATACACATGACATAGTCTGTATCTTCATCTGGTTTAAGTATACCCTCTGCAACCTCTTGGTACTCCTACTGAAAAGTAAAACAAAACTTTTTTTTCTAAATATATTGCAAAAATATACCATAACTCAGCTAAAGCTAAAATACATCCAGGTATGGTGTTATAAGTGAATTCCTAAAGAGATATGTGTTCAGGTGGAAAGAGAAAGAGGGGGGAGGAGAGGAGGAAGGAAAGAGACAGAGAGAATGAATGAAAATATGAATGAGTGAGTGAATGAATGAATACAGAGATAAAGACCTGACAAAGGAAAAGAGAGAGGAAGACATACCTAAGTGACCAGCCATGAGAAAACAGAAGCTTCATAAGGTATAAAGGACATGCTTTATAGCAGCTAAGAAACACTTAGTGATTCCCTGCAGGGATCCCAACCATCTAGGCTCTGATGCCCTCCTTCTGGGCATCAGATACATGTAGATAAGAGTACTCATATAATGTAAAATAAATATATAAATATTTTAAAAACAAATAAAATAAAATCTGAGCTGAATGTGGTGACCCACTCCTTTATTTTAGCACTGGAGGGTAGAGCCAGGAGGATCAGGAATTCAAGAACAGCTTCTGCTATATAATGAATCTGAGGCCAGCCTACAACATATGAGGCTCCGCCTCAAAAAACAAATGGGCTGAAAATGTAGCTCAGTTGGCAGAATGTTAGTCTAGCAGTGACAAAGACCAGAGTTCAATTCCCAGCCCTATATAAAAAGGGTATCATGGCATGTGCCTATAAACCTTAGCACTCAGAGGCAGTTGGCAACAGGAAAATCAGATTTTCAAGGTTATCCTCAGCTACACAGTGAGTTTGAAGTCAGCTTGAAATGCACAAGGCCATGTCTCAAAAAGGGGAAAAAACTCTCAGTGCATGGAAAGCTAAGGCAGAAGATCATGAACTCCAGGACAGTCAAGCTACATATGTAGCAAGACTTATTTCAAAAAACAAAAACAAAACACAAAAGCAAAGACTATACTTTCAGGGATCATTTCTATAGTTTATTTTTAAAAGCAAATTGAGCACACTAGGTCTAAATTTGTTTAAACAATAAAGACTTTTCCTAAATTTTAAATTAAACAAATGATATAATTTTGTTTTTCTAAAATGGATTAGGCTGCCTTCTGAAGAAGAAAGGGGTGTAAAAGCCAGTCCTTAGGGACAGAGAACCTAATTTACATAAGCATTTCTTATGGTTATTACATACATGATACATGTCCACACCCAGCTTTTTGCACGGGTGCTGGGATACAAACTCAGGTCCTCAATGCTGTGCAGAAAACTGTCTTACCCAATAGCCATGTCTCTGGTCCTGAAAAGTCCCTTTTAAAAATTCCCCCATTAATTTTAGAAAGCAAATCCTATCCCCTAACAATAAAATCTAAAATTTTAATATTTTATGTGTATATATTTTATGGCCCCTTCTCCCCCTCCTCTGACACTCTAAGTATGTGATTTTTTTTTTTTTTTTTTTTTTTTTTGAGACAAGTGTCATGTAATCCAGAATGATAATGTCTCTGAACTTTCTGGTCCTCCTGCCTCTACCTCCTGCCTCTACCAAGTGTTGAGATTAGAGGTGTTAGTTACTGTGCCTAGCTTTTATGCAGTGCTGGGGGGTTAAACCAAGGACTTTGTAAGCACTAGGCAATCTACCAACTACCAACAAAGCTACATACCCAGCTCTCCCTGTTCTGAGGCACAGCCACATGGAGTCTAAAATGGCCTCAAACTCAATATGTAGTTGAGGATGACTTTGAACTTCTCAATCCTTCTGCCTCTACTTTCTAGATACTGGAATTACAGGCATGAGTCACCACATCCAACTTCCCTTTTTAATAAAGAAAATGATACTCTGATCCTCAAATAACCAGGCGAGTGGTGCTGAGGAATGTGAGGAATGACACCCAAGGTTGTCCTTTGGCTTTCCCACATACACAAGAACTTATCAAATGAAAGGAAAAAGAAAACCTATGCAGAATATAGGATGCAAACCTCTCAAGACAAAGCAGTGAAGAGCACACTGATGTCTTACCAAATGCCTGAAGCTTTCCAGAGTGGAAATCATTCAGCAGACTAAGGAGCCCACGCTCCATCTCCTGGACATCAGAGACATCTGTGAGGAAGGAGTGCTGGATGGGAGTGGATTGAGGACCCTTCCCTTCTCCTCCTTGAGGTTTGTTCTTTTCTTTCATCACTCTGCGGAGTGGATGAAATTGGCGTTAGATCTTCCAGGTTTTTTTAGATTAAACTCCTGTTTAACTTCTTAGTTAAATAAATGAACTTTTTTTGAAAACAAGAATTCACAAGAAAGTCAATACTAAATAAAACCTCAAGCAACAGGGACTGTTGATCTCGGTGGCTGGCTCTTTGATCACCTCCCCCTGAGGGGGAAACAGCCTTGCCAGGCCACAGAGGATGAAAATGCAGCCTGATGAGACGTTATAAGCTAGGGTCAGATGAAAGGGGAGGAGGACCTCCCCTATCCATGGATTTGGAGAGGGGCATGTGAGGAGATGAGGAGGAGGATGGGACTGGGAAGGAAAAAGGGCAGGGATCACAGCTGGGATCCAAAGTGAGCAAAATGTAATTAATATAAAAAAATAAAAATTTAATAAAAAAATTTCAAAAAAAAAAACTTCAAGCAAGCAACAAATACAAGTAGTAAAAAAAAATCTCAAATATATAAAATGCAATGATTAAGAAACATAAAAAATTTAGTTAGTATATTTATGCAATATGTTAATTTGTTAAACTGAAACTATATTGAAAAGAAAATTGGTAAACCTTTTTAGTATCCTATTTTTTATTTTTCATATCTCAGTAAAATACAGCACATATTCTCTTTTCAAAGAGTTAGCCTTGAGCTGTTTATAGTTGGGTAAGTTTTTGTCGGGGGAGGGGGTGTTCCTTTTCTGGCCTTCAGAAGAGAGAACGCCAGGTGTGCTTGGCCTTAGGAGAGAGACATTTAAAATCCATCACCGAGAACCTGGTATTGCTTTGAAATCCGCCATCGTCCTCAGGCCCTGTTGAACTGATTCACGTAATCTAACTACTGCTCTCCTTAGCTACTGCCACCATCCTATTTCTTGACCTCACAACTTGCAACACCTTCCCAGATGGCCCACCATTCCTCCCCGTGAGGCAGTCAAATCCTTTTCTAAATAATGCCAGGTCAAATTTAAGCCTTTAAGAGCTAAGGCTAGCCTAAATCCAATACCCTTAAGGAACCCTAATTTCCTTGGGTGTAATTGTTAGAATCTTTAATCCTAATACAGAGGAGGGAAGCAGAGGCAGGTGGAGAGCAGCCTGATCTATACAATGAGTCCAAGCACAGTGAGGGCCACATACTGAGTCCCTGTTTCAAATAGAACTGACCAACCAACCTCTGATCTCATTAGCCTCCTAGAATCACATTCTGTCTTCTCATCTGAGTCCTGGTCCTACTTCACTTCCTGCCATCTGCCAGGCCACAGCTCATGAACTCTTCAAGTCACAGTCTAGCTGCTATTTCCCAGAAAGGTACCTGGGAACCATTCCAGTTAATTCTTATCACATACATCTGCATACAGCAGGCTCTCAGACACTAGAGAGGATTCCATGCACATTACAATATAAAATGAGAAAAAGTGGAATTCATGCAGCACACAACAGCCAGGCTTCTGAAGGTGCTATCAAAGTAAGGCTTAAAAAGACAAAAAGTGTTTGTGCTATCTTTAACTAGTACTATAGATTCTGGATTTAGTACTCTACATACATAGACTCAGTAACTCAAGTTTCACACTAAAATGAAGACCTCATCTCCACAACTCTACACTCAAGGATAAGATAAATCGGGCATGTGTATGTGTACATGCACCTTTGTATGATGGTCTGGGAGCGCAAGCTTGAGGAGGGGTGGGGTAAAGAAAGAAACTAACAACTCTTAAGAAATTTAGAATTCAGGCTAGTGAGAGGGTTCACTGGTTAAGGGCATAGTTGCTCTTCCAGAGGACCCAATTTCAATTTGCAGCATCCACATGGCAGCTCAAAACTGTAACTCCAGTTCCAGGGGATTCAATATCCTCTTCTGACTTCCACAGGCACCAGGCATGCACAAACATGAACACAAAGCACCCATGCAAATAAAATAAAAATATTTTAAAATAAAATAAAAAATATTTTAAAATAAAAATATTTAAAAATATTGAAATTGAGGTGGTGGTACACATCATCTGAGCACTCTGGAGGAAGAGGAAGGGTCCTATGTGATGGAGGCCAGCCTAGTCTATAGTGAGTTCCAGGCCAGCCAAGTCACAAGGAAAGGCTTACATAGCACATGTGTGTGTGTGTTATGTGGTGCACACACGTACATAGTTGTATGTACATGTATGTGCATGCATGTGTAGAGGCCAGAGGTTGATGTCAGGTAACTTCCTTCGCTGCTCTCCCACCTTAGTTTTTGAGATAGACTCATCAAACCTGGAACTTGTCATGTTGGCTACACTGCCTCAGCAACAAGCCCCAGAGTCCTTAGCTCCATATTGTCAGTGCTGGAGTTACATATGTACACTGCCACCCCTTGATTTTTACATGAATGTTAGGGATCCCAACTCAGGTCCCCAAGCTTGTGTAGCAAGTACTTTATCCACTGAGCCATCACCACTGCCCCAAGGCCTGTATTTTTTATAAAGGTATTTTATATGGTATTAAACCACATCATTCAGTATCTTAGTTTGCTTCCTTTTACTGTGATAAAGGCCATGACCAAAAGCAACCTAAGGAGGAAAGGGTTTATTTGACTTACAGTTTTAGTGCACCCTGAAAGGAAGTCTAGGCAGAAACTCAAAGCTGGAACCTAGAGGCAAGAACTAAAGCAGGGAGGGGGCCAAGATGGCGGCGCCGGGAGAACACCGTGTCTGAGAAGCAGGACAACACACTCCGTGCAGCGACCAGCAGACTGAACTCTGGGCCCTAAAAGAACAGCGATTGATCGTGTTTCCCAGGTGAGGAGAGGCTCCCACGGCGTGGGAATCGGTCGGGTCCACTCTCGGCTGCCCAGCCAGAATCCGGAAGAGAACCCAGCTAACTCGGACTTTGGATCTCCGGGCTGGTGCAGCAAGCCTGCCTGTTCCGATCACTTTCCCAGGCTGATTGGTGGGCACAAGGGTGCCTAAGGCTGGGAGTCCCAGTCGCAAAAAAAACCCCACGGGGAAGGAAAGTTGCCAGACTGGTCACGGGTCACCCAGTCTTTCCCTGGAAGGTCTCTCCGACCACGGGGACCTGCCGCCATCACAATTGAGCCGCGCACGGATTGCAGCTGCACGCCCAGCTCAAAATCCCTACTCCCTCTTCGGAGGAGGCAGGAGGTGTCCAGCAGAATCTGCCACAGACCACATTGTCTGTACCCCAACCCGAGATCGGGGCTGAGAAAACCCAATCCCTTCGGGCACTCCCCCAAACGCCGCCATAACCCTACCACAGCGGAGCAGAAGGATAAAGAGGCGCACAGCGGCTTCACAGTGCCGGAACTCCAGTGCTGCCGGCTGCTCCTAGCAAACAAACTACAGCTCGGGATCTGGGACTGTGGTCATTCTACACGTCCTGAGACTCTCCTGGGTCCAGCGCAATAAGGTCTAGCAGCAAGTTCTATCACCGGCCCCCCCCCCCCACCCCTGGCAGAGAAACGCTGGCTCAGGGCTCAGGATCTGACTGAGAAGCCCCAACCCCTGCTGGCACTCCCCTGAGAGCACCTCCTTAAGCTTGCCCTAGCAGAGGGGAAGGTCAGAGGGGAAGGACAGAGAGGCAGCCTGCCAAGGACACAGCACCCTCTCTCCAGCTCACCAAGCGGCCCCTAGCAGAGAAACCCAAGCTCTGGATCTGAGGACACTCAACCCTACCCAGTACTCTCTTGGGATCAGCAAACATAGATTCTACCACTAGGCTGCTTCTGGCAGAGAGATCTGGGCCCGGGATCTGGGATTGAGTACACCCACCCTAACTCTTTCCCGCGCCACCCAGGGACCAGTCAACATAACCCTTCCTGGCAGAGGGAAAGGACACAGGAAAGGTGGACACCGAGTCCTGCGGCCACAGTGTCACAGAGCTGACTGTTAGCCTGCCCGTGCACTTCCGCAGCAGGAACAATTCAGAGAGTAGTGAGCAAGGGGAACCCCTGTGCATTCCAACTGGTCCTGCAAGAGAGTGAGTGAGCCTTCTAGGGAGAGATTGCCCCAGACCCAGGGCCTCTCGACAGAAGCAACCAGACAAGATCCCTGCCACTCACACCCCTAGTGTGGGTATCATAGGGATTCTTGGGATAGCGACCCCAACATTTAAGCCTCTGCCTTGTGGGTCCACCAGAGTAATCCAGGCAAACAATCCCTGGATCTCAGTCAGAACTGCGTAATAGTGGCTTGCAGGCCACTGCAATAGTCAGAGAATCCACGCATGCACACTGCGACCGCTAAAAGCACACGCGAATAGCGCCAGCGTCACATTCCTTACTTAGGCAAAACTGAAAACACAATGCACACTCCCAAAGCAGTGAACCTCTCCCATCTTCCTAAAAAAACAGTCCAGAAAACAGAAAGAGAGGATCATAGTCCAAACTACAATCTCGAGGATTATAAACAGATGGCTAGAGGCAGACATAAGAACACGCCCAACAAAAATCAGAACATAATGACCTCACCAGCAACCCCACAAAACAATGGACACTTCAATTCACTAGATATACAAGAAAACGACCTCAAAACTATGTTTCTCCAGCTATTAGAGGCCCATAAAGATGAAATGAACAAAGCCCTCAGAGAAATAGCCAAAGAAATCGAGACTAACCAAGAGGAAACAAATGGTGCTCTCAGAGAAATGACCACAAAAACTGAGGCAAACAGAGAAGAAATGCACAAAGCTCTCAAAGAAATGTCCACACAAATGAAGGCAAATAAAGAAGAAATAAACAAAGCTCTCATAGAAATACAGGCAATTATACCCAAAGAAGTAGAGGCACAATTAGTGATACATAGAGAGGAAATGGACAAAAAAATAGAAGCTATCATTGAAAAGCAGAAGTCCACATTCAAACAGATGAAGGAAATGGTGCAAGACATGAAAACAGAATTAGAATCAATAAAGAAAACACAAATAGAGAAAAACCAGGAGCTGGAGAACATAGAGAAAAGATCAGGAACCACAAAGGTAAGCATCACCAACAGAAT